CCACCATCTCCACCCTCTCCACCTCCACCTCGCCCTCACCTTCCCCTTCTCCTCGTTCATCAGCAGCAGCTCCTGCTCGCCGAGCCACGCCTCCACCTCGGCCACGTCGAAGTAGTACTGCTCCAGCTGGAAGGCGGCGTCCAGGCTCTGCTGGCGGAGCTCCGCCTTCTCCTGSAGCTCCGCCCACATGGCCGCCAGCCGCTCCAGGAGCTCCCGCGCCGCCTCYGCCTCGGGGCTCTTGATGGAGGCCACGGCGGCCGCGCGCTCCAGCACCTCCTCCAGGCGCGGACGGTGGGCGTCGATCTCGCGGCGGAGGTTCTGCGGGACAGGGGTGGAGATGGAGATGGAGGGGACCATCTCCACGTCCATCTCCACCATCTCCACCCAACCCCATCTCCATCTCCATCCCCATCTCCACCTCAATCTCCATCTCCATCTCCATCTCCACCATCTCCATCTCCACCACATTTCCATCTCCATCTCTACCATCTCCATATCCATCTCCACCTCCATGTCCATGTCCATCTCCATCCAATCTCCATCTCCATCTCCATCATCTCCATCTCCATCTCATCTCCACTATCTCTATCTCCATCTCCACCCCACCATCTCCACCTCCATCTCCATCCCCACCTCCATCTCAATCTCAATCTCCATCTCAATCTCAATCTCCATCTCCATCTCCATCTCCATCTCCACCATCTCCACCTCCATCTCCATCTCTATCTCCATCTCCATCTCTATCTCCATCTCTATCTCCATCTCCTCCATCTCCACCCAACCCTATCTCCATCTCCATCTCCTCCATCTCCACCCAACCCTATCTCCATCTCCATCTCCACCTCCACCTCCATCTCCATCTCCATCTGCACCCAACTCATCTCCACCATCTCCACCCACCTCCATCTCCATCTCCACCTCCACATCTCCATCTCCATCTCCACCATCTCCATCCCATCTCCACCTCCATCTCCATCTCCATCTCCATCTCCACCATCTCCACCTCCACCTCCATCTCCATCTCCATCTCCATCTCCTCCATCTCCACCCAACCCTATCTCCATCTCCATCTCCACCTCCACCCCATCTTCGCCATCTCCATCTCCATCTCCATCTCCATCTCCATCCCATTTCCATCTCCACCATCTCCATCTCCACCCCATCTCCATCTCCACCCCCATCTCTATCTCCACCTCCATATCATCTCCACCTCCACCTTTGTGTCTATCGCCATCTCCACCATCTCCACCTCTATCTCCATCCCCATGTCCATGTCCATCTCCATCTCCACCATCTCCATCCCCATCTCCACCTACATCTCCACCTCCACCTCCATCCCCATCTCCACCTCCATCTCCACCTCCATCTCAAATCTCCACCTCCACCCCATCTCCATCTCCACCATCTCCATCCCCATCTCCATCTCCACATCTCCATCTCCACCCCATCTCCAACTCCAGGGTGTGGCTGGAGATGTCCAGGGTGTGGCTGCAGATGATGTCCACCCTGGTGGTCACTCCTGGCCCCTCCCCCGCACTGACCTGGTTCTTCTTGATGAACTGCTGGACGCTCTGGAGGTTGGTGCCGAGCTCCTTCAGGGTGGCCAATGGCAGCCGCTCCTGGACCCACATCTGC